TGTACTTGGTACTCTCGATGTCATTTACCACCTAATCAACGTGCCGGTTAGCCACACACGCTCCATTGATCTATGATAAACATCGAGCTACCCTTTTCCACCCTTGTTAGTCCCAAATTAGTGTTTCGGTTATCCACGCACGCTCCACTAACGACATGGCAAGGTGCAAAGTGTAATTTCACGGAATAGCATCATTTTCACATTTTTCCTTAAGTAACTAAGATTGGGAATTTATAAAAACATGAAGTTACTTTATAGATCATTATACTTATTAATGAGGAGTTAGTTGCCCTATCCTACCCGTTCGGCTAATGACCCTCCACTAGTCAAGAGTGTCGTGGGTAAGAGTGAATACCCAATGTCGGTCATTTTATAGGTCGCTTCCTTAAACACCCCTTATAGACCAGTTTCGTGAACGAGGCCTACTAACGGTAAGACTAGCTCATCTTATACATATATATATATATATATATATATATATATATATATATATATATATATATAATTATTAATCTTATAATATTATAATAGTATAAGGGTTGAATTTTAAACTTGTAAAATTCTAGGGTTTAGAACTTAAATATTTCAAAATTAAAACTATTAATCAAAAATTTAAATTCCAAAACTTGAGGGAAAATTTTGAAACTTTTCAAAACCTTCTAGATAAAATTTCAAATAATTTAATTTGTGATTATCTAAATTTGACCTAATTCAGTTTATGGCAAGATAATTCATATTAAATAATACAAATAATTTATTTTATCATATAAAAAAGTAATTATCTTATTATTTAACAATTATCTTCTAATTGGATGAGGATAATCAATACCATATTGAAAAAATCGAATTTTATCACTTAAAAACGTTTATGGTAATTATCCCAACCCAATTCTAGTCAAAATCCTGAAAAATCTGGTAACAGACGAGCCGACTCGCCGAATCACTGACTGGACTCGTCGAGTAGCCAGACTGATCGAGTTCATCAGGGGACTCCACGAGGTCATCAGGCAGAAGAAGATTTTTTGACTTTTTCAGCTTTGAACAATTTAGCTATGTATCAAATACAATAGAAAAACAACCTAGGCTCTGATACCACTGATGGGTTTTAAGCAAAACATCAATCCTATGGTGCACATGCAAACCCTAAAGCTTTGGATCTAGGTTTTTCTAATTGTACATGCAATAATCATCCAAAGCTTGTAAACCCTAATCTATCATATAGAAATCGAAATTAACATAATGAAACAAGTAAGAATGTTACCTTTCAATTGTAGCTTGAAGATCGTTGACTTTGAGAGCTTAGTATCACAAATGTAATACCTCTAATCGATCACAAACACCAAGAAGCAAGTTGGCGAATATGAGAGAGAGGAGGAGGCTCAAAACCGACTCTAGGATCTTTCTAGGGTTTCAGGTAGCCGATTTGAGGTGCCCAAGGGGTCCTTTATATAGCTGAAGAATTAGAGTTTCAGTCAAATACCTAATCTGGTTGCTTAAGCCCTAAGCAGCCCATAGGAATGTTCCAGAACACCTAGCCTTGGACGAAATCCTTATGGGCTTCCATAAGATTTCGTCCACCTCTTATCCAAGAGATCCTCAGCCCACTTTGCAATTATCTTATAATTACAATATCAGTCCCCTTAATTCAATTAACCTCTTTTGACCACAAAATTAATTCTAAATTAATTCTTGACCAATATTAATTAAATAATATGATTTCTCTTTTAATATATTATTCATATAATATATTAATAAATCACATTTATCCTCTTTCTCCATTATTCATCTAGTCAAGTTGCTTTGGTGAAGGCAACCCAAAACGACCATGCTACTATCGGGTCAAGTACATACCAATTATAGTTATGGGCCTAGACACCTAATCCAACACCTATAATATAGGAATATGTACATACTTGAGCACACATCAAATTACAACAAAGAAAACGTATGAAATCTTCTACATCTTTATAACTTTAAGGTCAGATTTAGGAACTGATTGAGAATGAAGTTATCACTTTTAGCAACAAATGTGTCACCTGGTTTGTGGTTTTCATGCTAAATCTTTTAATGATCTTATTGATGTAGCATTTTATTGATAATCCTAGAATTTCATGAGATTTGTCTTATTAAATCTGGATTCATAATACAAAATCGGCTTCTCCAAGATCATTCGTTTCAAAATACTTTAATCTATTGATGGCCAACAATATTCCATCAACATACAAAACCAGGTTAATATCTTTATTTATTTACTCCCACTAAATTTGTGATAAACACGATTATCTATTGTATTTACTTCAAAACCAAATGAGATACTGAATTGATGAAACGTGTGTACCACACATGGGATATCCTAAGTTGAGGTTGATGTTGTAATTTCTCCATTTAGGTTAGTAATTCTTGGTTTTAGAGGAAATTACATTTTTGGTCCCTGGGTATAGCTAATATTTGTAGTTTTGGTCCCTGATCCAAGTAAAATTACTAAATAACGTCATTTTACTTGGAACATGGAACAAAAATGTTGCAAAAAGTGTAACACCCATAAAAATCATGCCGATTTTAAACTTTTAAAAACATTTCAAATACTAAAAATTATTACAAAAAGGTTTCCAAATAGTTTCATATCAGAGCATCCCAGAAGTCCAAATCAAAATATGAGGGAGTGTACGGTCACGCCTTTGCCTTCCCACGGTCATCCGTTGTACCTAAAACAATAATCGACAAATTTAAGCTCGAAGGCTTAGTGAGTTACCCCCCCAAAATACCAACCGCATACAACTATAAACATATCATATAACAAACACAGAACAACCATGCATCTCGAGTCTACAGTGTGACTGGTCCGCCCGCACCGGGCCTTCAGTCCACCTGGTCCACTCTATGAGTCTACATTATGACTGGACCGCCCGCACCGGGCCTTCAGTCTATCTGGCCCACTCTCCGAGCCTCGGCACATCTGGACCGCCCTCTCGGGGCCTTCAGCCTATCCGGACCGCTCGTCGGGCCTTCGGCCTGACTATGTGCCCTCTTGGGCCTGCAATATATCCGGTCCGCCTTGGGTATGTTGGCCTACAGCACGAATCAGGACCCGCCTCAACCCAACCCCCATACCGATCAAACAATCATGTGCACATAAATATCATACGCTAGCATGTATATAACAGATAATCATATCGATCTAACAGATCACTAACACCACCACCATCCTATAACCAGGATACCGACCTAACTGGTCACTAACATAACATCATCCTATATACCAGGATACCGACCTAAACCAGGTCACTAACATAATACCATCCTAACTACCAGGATGCAGATCTAGCAGATCAATAAACATATCAAGCAAATACCCAGATACAAATCTGATAAAGGGACGGCCTTGGTGCCTTAGACCCTGTTGATATGGTGAGGATAACTCACCTGGCAATGTCGGTTTGAACTGAAGTATCGACTCCCGAAGAGCTGTCTCACCGAAAATCCCGTACTATCCAAAATAACGAATGCTGAGTCAACATATGGGCTATCAATCCCGACTAAGGGTCCATATAGTCCATTTTGTCTTTTCTCTAATTTGGGCCAAGGCCCAATACCAAAACAAAACCCAACACTAGGTTGGCCTTCCAAGCCCACTAGTGGCCCACTAATGGCCCAATTTGCTAAATTAGGCCGAATCCCCCTAATGGGCCTTACCGTAAGCCCAAACATCTTCTTGGCCCACATTATATGACTTCTGATGGCCCACTAAGGCCCAAAGAACCAAAATCCCTTGCATGGCCCAAACCGAGGCCCAAAACTCGCAAGGCCCATATCTGATGAGTACGCTGGACGTATTAGCTAAATGGTGAGTACGCTGGGCGTACCTGCATGTACGCTCATCGTACTCCCCTATTAAGTCACTTTCCCCTTAAGTTCTTAATACTCCAATCCAGAAGCTACAATCACATATCCAAGTCCTTTTCAACGTATTAATCCATAAAGTCATTAACTTGGTGACTTTAAATGACCCTAATAAGCCCAAACTCCAAAATAGCATTCTATTCTCATAGAAATGATCTTAACTCATGCATGAATCCAATAAGACATTAAAGATGGTAACTTTCTGCCTTAGGGACTCATTTTGAACTGAGAGTGGCAACTCTAAGTCCAGAAATCGGATTTGAACCATAAAGTTCTATACTTGGGACCAAAATGACTTCAAAACCACACTACACTAGATCTAAGCATTCTTGAGGAAAGTTATGAACTTTATACCTCCAAAGACTCTCAAATGATGATGTTATTCCAAATCTATGAGCTTAAACTTCCCAAGTCCTTCCTTGCCAATTTCTTCTATCCTCTTCCAAGCTTAAAAATCACCAATATGTGCTTCTCAAGATTAAAATCACACAAGAATGAAAGGATGAGACGTTTTAGGGTTTTTTTGAGGTTGGGGAGGCTGATAAGGGGATAGGGTTCAAGTCCTCATGTTCTTTATATAGTGCTTGACCCTAAAATTAAGGTTTAGTGTCACTGAGCGTACGCCTCCAACACCCACGACCATTTAACCTTCTATGTTGGGCTTACCCCAGCTTACGCTGGGCATACTCACCCAGCTGCCACCTTTGCCATGCATGGTCCTTTCTTGCCACTTCCTTCCAACCAGGGGCCAAAAATGACATAATTAAAATCCGAGGGATGAATTTGAGGCTACTTGAAAAATGGGATGTTACAAAAAGCAAAATTGCAAGAGAAATTTTTTTTGGAACAAACTTGCAAAAAGCAAATATATCTAGGGACTGAAAATATAATTTCTATTGGTTTTATCACAGAAAGTCTTGAGAAGTGATTTTACATGTTTTTTTTAATAATTTTTGTAAAGGCTTTTTGAAGATCGAAGCAGGTCTTTGTGGGGGTGATTTTGTAAAAAGTTGTCCCTGTAACTTTTTCAACAATAACTTCTTTTACTAAATTGGTTTGGAGGATCCAACAACCTGCAAAAAAGCCAGAACCAAAGCCACATGCATTTGCTCGAGGTGAGGGTTATTTTTGTCATTTCATAAAAACTTATGTTTTCACCATTTTTTCAATTTAGTCTTTGAACTAGTGTTTTTTTTTAAAAGATTTTGTCATAAATTATTATCATTATTCTCTTGTTACCATTTTATTATTCAAAATATATTAGTAACAAATATAACCTTATTTTTATCAAATTTAAAGCTTTAACCCTTACATGTTTGAAAGATCACCCGAGAAAAAGGGGAGAAGCTAACCTTATCGCCAAGCGGGACTTTGGCGGCAAAAACGAAGTCACTTGGCCGTATTATCCTCTTGGACACCCACTCCCTTATGGTTGTACGATAATGGAAGGTAACAGATTGTGTTTGACAGGCACTAAGACTATATAAATTTTTTTGTCCCACTCAAAAAGGTAGGACAAGGACTTAGTCTAAATGCATCATCTGTGTAAAAAGACGTGAATATCCTCATCAGTACTTATTGACTAGTCTAGTACATTTTTATAGATTGTAATGTCATACATTTGACTATGACTATGACTATGACTAATGTGAGTGGGAAAAAAATGCAATCTTTTGTCTAGCCCAAATAGATGGGACGTGAACTTGCTTTCAATCGCCAATCTTTGCAAAAAGATGTAAATGCCCTTTTCATCAACGCCACTAAAAATATCCCTAGAAAGCTTGTCTAGTTTTATAGTGCCCTAGCCTATTACGATAATGGGATAATTTTTTTTGTCGCACCCAAAAAAAGGTAGGACATGGGCTTTCTCTTATCTCACCCGTGCAAAAAGATAGGAATGCCCTTCTTATCCAAAATATCAAAATAAACTCAATTATTTCAGGGGTATCGTGATGTGATCTTTCTCTTTGGTGAAAGACTTGTATATAAAGACAGTATAGGAAGCCATGAACGCGTGAAAAGCAATTATTGTTTATGTCTTGCCATTCATGCTCCTCGAAAGGGCATTGTTGAGGTAATAAAAAAAACATTTAAATGATTTTTTTTTTTCAAATAGTAAAATATTTATAAAATTGACAGATTTGGCAGATGAGAATGGGGCCTAGGACTCTTACAATCCCGTGCCCGAAAGGAAGCAAAATACTGCAACCCACTTACAGATTTGGATCGTCAATGCTTTCTGAATCCTCTTATAAACTGTTGGAAGTTTTCTTTTTGAATGAAGATTCTGGTGAACTTTCAAGATAAATTGATTGTTGTTTTTCTTTTATTTGTGTAGGGTTTCTTGTGTTTACGGTGGTAAATTAAAAAGGGTTGTTTAGGGTTTTCTTATTTATCAAAATGGAGTTTAGGAAAATGTGTTTGTATTAGGTTATATGCTACTAAAACATAATAAGTTGATAAGTTTTTATTGGCGTTTGATAAAAATTATTTATGTTTATACACGTAAAAGTACGAAAATGGATAGAGGTAAAAGGGTAAATGGTTAAAGCTACACTTTTTGAAGTGCACATGTTGCATGATATTCTTCTTAATGTTAATATAGAGATGGTTTCAAAATAAACATTCCATCAACAGTGGTAACGATAAAATAATTTGAACTACTTAATTGGGGATCTTTATTTTGCCAATGTGGAATCAATAACCTTTGTTGCTATGAATCAATGAACTATGTTGGCATGTGGCTTGTAAGTCAAGGAAAAAGACAAACAAAGTATGATTCATGTGGTTCTCTTGGTTAAAACAGTGGTCAAATAAATTGTTTTGCATCTATAATAAAAACATTTTTAAATAGGAGAAATGACTCGTAAAGTAATGAATTCTTAAGTTTGTTAATGCTTCTCTTTTTTATTTTATTTTATTTATTTATTATTTTAATATATAACATTTAATTTGTTATAGCTGTTCATATACTACTCTTGTTATCAAGGGCTGAGATTACAAAAAATAACATATGAATAGTTTTAATAAGTTAGATAATATATGTTGTACATAAAAAGAGACTAAATATCAACACAATCGATATATATATATATATATATATATATATATATATATATATATATTCCAACGATCTTTGTAGACGATTTATAATGGTATTATACTTTCTTTTCTAATATTCTTTCTGAATGTGTGCAGAAAAAAAGTTTTCAAACTTTTAGGGATTTTTGGTTCACACTACAACTCAACTCTTCTCTCTCTCCCCTCTCTCTCTCTCTCTCTATATATATATATATATATATATATATATATATATATATATATATATATATATATATATATATATAAGCGAAGACTGTGAGGACAAATATTTATCATAAGATTGATAAAATAAAATGTGGATATTTGATTTTATTTATCCTTAAAATCTCGTGAGATGATATGACGTTTTGGTAATTATGTGCGAGATTTTGGTATTTTCCTACAAATATTAAATGTTTTAAGGGTATCAATGAAAAAAAAGGAACTAAGCGGGTGTGTAACATCTCCCCCCTATTTTTCTCTCTATGCTACTTGTCCCCCAGCTATGGCTGAGTTTTTATTTTTTTCCCTCCAACTTTGTTGTTTGGTAATAATTTTTTTTCTTTGAAAAAAAGAAATTTTAAAAAAACTAAAGTTCTTAAAATTTAAAAATCTTTACAAAATGAGTGTAATCATGAAAATTTGAAAAAAAATATTTTTGATTTTTTTAATTTTTATAAAAAAACCCTGAATTTTTTTTTCCAAAAATTATGAAAATTTAAGAATTACTTCTACTTATTATACATAAGAATATATATATGGAAACTCGAAAGACGAAGTCTCACGGTCCTCTATAGAGAAAGATCTATTATATGATAAATTGTTACAATCACATATAATAATCTCTCATGCAAGCTTCCCTAAAATACAACTACACTCTTCCAAAGTGTTAACTAACACTTTCTACACTCTAAAAAAAGATAAGAAAGAAATAACCAAACACTTCAAATGTATGTTGGTTGGGGTGCTTTGAAGCCAAAACATTAGACTTCTTTTATAAACTTGAAGTCCACCAAAGTTTCATCCGTTATTTCGTATAGCAAAAAACTTAACATTTTAGCGGTGCGTTTTCTTGGGATTTTATGCGGTTGCAATTTGGTTTTTTAACCGCATACATTTGGTGTGGTTTTAAGCCACCATTGATTTTTAATGCCTTAAAACCGTTTGTAAGTAAACCACCGAAAACCTATAGTTAAAATAAAAAACAAGCAACAACAAGTATGATTAAATCGTAAAGTTGAGTATTTATAAAAAAAGAATCCTAATAAAATAAGAAATTAAAAGAGGGCATCCCAAAATAGCATCCCAAAATAAGGTTACCACAAAATAGATTGTAGCTTCTTTGCCTCGTAGGTCTTTGTTACCACTTTTAACAAAATTTCTTATATATTAGACGAAGTTATAAACCATGTAATGTGGTGCAATGTGGTTTGGACAACTTTAAAACATAAAAAGAAGATATATCCATAATCCAAATTCATAAGCTTAATCATTTAGTTATTATAAAACTTCAAAAAAAAAAGTTATGGTATCAAACCATCAACACCAGTACAATGTTAACATTCTTTCAATTGTTACATGTCAACTTTTAGTGTTACTCTCCATATCAATGCAATGTTAGTTATGTCAAAAGTAGTCGCAATTGAAAGATCAATAATTGACATATCAATTAATAGTAGGGGTATAAAGGAGCCGAGCCAACTCGTGAGATACTCGAGACCGATTTGAAAAATACTCGAAATCGACTCTGTTTAAATCGAGTCGAGCTCGACCTACTCGAGTAGATTATGGAGCTGAGCTCGATTATAGAAATACTTGGCTCATGAAACTCACAAGCTTAATCGAATATTGTTATGTTTACAGTTTTATCCTTTGCTTCTTCATATTTACATATTATAGAGTCGAGTTGAGTCATGCTCACGAGCTTCATTGTACTTATGTTGTAATTTGATGTGATTTTATTTTTTAAGAGCTAACGTGGTTGAGCTGAGCCGAGCTCGAGCTGAAGCTTGATATTAAGGTTCGAGTCAAGTTCAAACCAGGTTTCAAGCTCGAGTTTTTAAGTCGAGTCGAGTTTCGAGCTTGGCAATGTTCAACTCGACTCGGCTCGATTACACCACTAGTTAAAAGAATGTATTAATTAATTTTAGTCATCTAGAATTTAAAACGACATCAAAGTGTAAGAACTTATTACAATACCAAACCTAATCAACATATTATGGATTACAAAATATATTATAACATCAAGCGTTTCCAAACACCAAAAGAGAAATTATATATATATATATATATATATATATATATATATATATATATATATATATATAGATATATATATATATATATATATTAAATCCAAGGGACCTTATGAATAGTAATCTTTTTAGCTTTAGGTTTTTGCCACAAATGTTTGATGAATTTGACATTTTTAGTACTCGAAGTGAAAACTTTTACATTTTTAAGTTTTGATTAAGTTTATGTGCCTTTAGATTTTTGCCACAAATCTTTAGTGATTTTGACACTTTTCGTCCTTGCAGTCAAATCTTTTATATTTCGATGTATTTGTCACAAATTTTTAGTAACTTTGACACTTTTCAACCTTGCAGTCAAAACATTTACATTTTGACATAAAAAACACAAAAAATCTCCTTTAGACTTCTGTCACCATATTTTTTCCAACTTTGGCAACTTTCACATTATAGCCACAACAATTTTCGTTTTTTTCCATCAATGTTCTTTCTTTTGGTTCTACATTTTTGACATCTAATTTTAGGGGTTGTCGGTTTTCTCCCTTATTTGTGGCGATTTACACTTTCGACACATCTTTTAAAGTTTGCCGATATTTAAATTCTATGACATAGTCCAAAAGCGGCGGAGCCGCGTGTCCTTTTCTATTATATATATATATATATATATATATATATATATATATATATATATATATATATATATATTAAATCCAAGGGACCTTATGAATAGTAATCTTTTTAGCTTTAGGTTTTTGCCACAAGAATTTAGTGAATTTGACACTTTTAGTCCCTAAAGTCAAAACTTTTACATTTTTATGTTTTGATTAAGTTTTTGTGTCTTTAGGTTTTTGCCACAAATCTTTAGTGACTTTGACATTTTTAGTCCTTGCAGTGAAAAGTTTTACATTTGGTGTTTTTGCCACAAATCTTTAATGAATTTGACACTTTTCGTCCTTGTAGTCAAAACTTTTACATTTTGACATAAAAAACACAAAAAACCTCCTTTTGAATTTTGCCACCATATTTTCTCAACTTTGACAACTTTAACATTATTGTCACAACACTCTTGGATTTTATCCACCAATGTCCCTTTTTTTGGTTGTATAAATTTTAGGGGGTGTCAACTTACTCCCCTATTTGTGGTGATTACAATTTCAACACATATCTTTTAAAATTTGCCGATTTTTCCCATAATACCCCAAAAGCGGCATAGCCGCGGATTCTTTACTAGTTTATATATTAAATCTAAAGGAAGTTAGCAATAGTAACTTTTATGTCTTTAGGTTTTTGCCACAAATGTTTAGTGAATTTGACACTTTTAGTCCTTAAAGTGAAAACTTTTACAATTTTGTGTTTTGATTAAGTTTTTGTGCTTTTAGGGTTTTGCCACAAATCTTTAGTAACTTTGACACTTTTCCTCCTTGCAGTGAAAAGTTTTATATTTTGGTGTTTTTGCCACAAATCTTTAATGAATTTGACACTTTTCGTCCTTATAGTCAAAACTTTCACATTTTGACATAAAAAACATAAAAAACATCCTTTAGAATTTTGCCACCATATTTTATCAACTTTGGCAACTTTCACATTATTGCCACAACATTTTTGGATTTTCTCCACCAGTGTCCCTTCTTTTGGTTGTCGTACACTTTGGACATCTAATTTTAGGGGTTGTCGACTTTCTCTCCTATTTGCGGTGATTTACACTTTCAGCACATATTTTTTAAAGTTTGTTGATTTTCCCCATATTACCCCAAAAGCGGCGTAGCCGCGAGTTCTTTGCTAGTTATTATTACTACGATGGGAGAACTAATTGAAGATCTTCGACTAATACAATATTCTTTGGCTTCATCCATTTTCATTTAAGTTTCAAAGCTTCAAGCTTATCATCAATAATGGATAACATCTTCTCAAAATAAACTTTCAAATGTATCTTTTGATCATTTACGGTCCTCTAATTTCTTATGGATTTTGATCATATGAACTTTATACAACTTACATGGTAATATTCAAGGTCCACAAAATCAAAATAATCACAATAATCAACAAATACTACCAAATAACGTAAAACACTTAACAATAAAATGACACAAAAGACAAACATTGTTACCATTGAGTTATCACAAGTCATAAATCTTTTACCAAAGTTTACGTCGGCCTACAATTTCTTAGGTGCTGTTTGTTTTTTTAGAAAAACCTCTTCAAATCACTTTTTGCTGCGCGGCGCAGCACACACGCAACACTTTCCCTCTCGCAGCAGTTTGTTTTTTAAAAGGCTTCAGACTACAAAACCTCTGCGCGTGTGCTGCGTGACGTAGCACTTGACTTGCCTCTTCAAACCTCTTCAGCCTTCATTTTTTTCCAAGTGTTTTTTTTAGAATTTTGGTATAACTTTTCTTTTAATTTTTATTTAAAAAAAAAACTTTGATTTTTTTAAACATTTATTTACGGATTTGATACAATTTCTTTTTATAGTTTCCACAATTTTTCTTAACTTGATTTATAAAAAAAAAACTTTTGATTTTTTTAAATTTTTTTACATTTTCTGTTAATAATATTTTCAGTTTCGGTTGTATCTTTTTTAACGTGTGTAATTTTTTTACGAATTTTATAGACATCGTTTGCAATACTTTCTTAATTTTGTTTTATTATTTTCGTTTTTTATGTGTTTTACAATTAGTTTTTTTGTAGAATAAAACTGTTAACTTCTTTTATATTTTTTAAGTTTTTTTTTAAAGTTTTATATTTTTGTTTTTTTACATGTTCTTTTTAGTATTCTTTCAATGTTTTAAGACTAAAATTATTAAAATTTCGGTGTTTGAAAACTATTTTCGGTTTATAAAGTTAGTTTATTTAAATTTCAGCTTACTGCGGCAGTCTGCAGATATGAAAAAACAAACACGCTTCTTATTATAGGCTGCAGCCGTTTGTTCCACCTCTTCTGCTACAGAGGATTGCAGAGATGGGCCGCAGACTTAATGAATTTTCTCTTCGAAAAAACAAACAACACCTTAGTCTTCATATTTAGCACACGATCATAACGTACGTTTCTACTTCTACTTAAGTCTTAATACCAAATATAATTACTAGTGTTGCGATTAGAATACGATGGCATTTTAAATTGAAAACCATATGATCTTGATTTAGGATACAAGAAAAAACTGCAATCATGATTTTGAAAACAAAAGACGAAAGACTCTTAATCTAGGTTACAAAACATTAGGCTATATACGGTATACTATATTAAAAAAGCTCATGCGTTCATTTTGCCACATTAGATTCGATATTACATGATATAAACCATATAAACTAATGGCTAAATCATTATATATCACAATATTTAAATTTTAATTTGATTCGATGATTTAAAATTGAGGAACTAAATAACAATTATTCCAATTTTATCATCAATCTTTAAAATCAGTACTAAATTATCTGCCGATCCTAATCCGTAACAAACTAATTTTTTTATAATTTTCCCTCCAAAATCTCATATCTCAACGACACTCCTACCGATCTTCACAAGAATGACACTTTCTCAACCACCATCATCACCAATCTCATGGATTCCACCTTCCTTCCTTTCATCATCCTCCTTCTCCTCCTCTCTTTCTCTATAATCTCTGCTGCCAATTCCATTCCAAAAGCCCTAATTTTCGGGCAACACCTCACCTCCGAACCCACCACCACCACCACCACCACCACTAACGGCATCCCACCCACCACTTGCTTTGAAGTAACGAAACCAATCCAACTCCCTAACACAAAACCCTGCTCAACTCTTCTTCTACAACATGATTTCGGAAACAGTTATGGCATCCCACCAGCTTCCGCCCAATATACCCGACCTTCAAATTGCCCATCAAACGATTTTGCTAAAATTGTTCTCGAGTGGAATGTTACATGTAAAGGTCGTCAGCTCGATAGGATTATTGGGATTTGGCTCAGCGGCGTTGAACTGTTCAGAAGCTGCACAGCTCAACCTAGAGCTAGAGGGATTTTTTGGACTGTGAAGAAGGACATTACTAGGTATTATTCATTGCTTATGTCCAATCAAACACAAACCCTGGCTGTTTATTTGGGAAATAAGGTTGATAGTAATACAAATGGTGTATACCATGTGAATGTTAGTATTCATTATTATCCCCCTGAGAAGAAAACCAAAACCAACACGGAAACGACAACTCTACATGTTAATTCAGATCAAGATGATGGGTATAAGGAATGGGCTGATTTGATTATACCCATTTCACAAAACTTACCATTGAACGATGCATTATGGTTCAAAATCTATAATTTAAATGATGTAAAGACAAAACAGTTTGCGATTCCCCCAAATGCATATAGGGCTGTTCTTGAAGTGTATGTTTCAGTTGATGAAGCCGATGAGTTGTGGCCTAAAAATCTCCCTAATGACTATATTTCTTCTAATAATATAACTGGGCAACCTGGTAATGGACCTTTTAGAGAGGTTATTGTAAGTTTAGATGGAAAAATAGTTGGTGTAGTTTGGCCTTTGACTGTAGTTTTCACAAAAAGTATTAATCCGTACTTATGGGGACAAATTATGGCGATTGGATCATTTGATCTCCCTTCATATGATATTGAAATCACTCCATTTCTCGGATCACTTTTAAATGGAAAACTCCATGATTTTGCATTCAGTGTTACAAATGGTTTAAATGTTTGGTTAATTGATGCAAATTTACATGTATGGTTGGATGCAAAGAGTGAAAAGACAAAAGGGATGCTTTTGAATCAAACCATCTCTCCACTTCATGAATCTTTGAAGTCCAATTTCAAGGGTTTTAATGGGACATTCGTTACTAGTGTCCAGAGGTCAATAAAGTCAAGTGGATGGGTAGAAACGTCATTTGGTAAGATAGTAACCGAGTCAACTCAGGATTTCAATTTGAGTAACATCATGGTGATGGGGAATGAGGGGCGTTCACAAACTGTGAACCAAACAATCGAGTTTATCGACATTGTGGATTCCAAGATTGCATCTTCATTTCATAACACTAAATCTTTAAAATCTTTTTATTTTTATTTATACTCGGAGAGAGTGGACAATGGAGACCGAAACCAAGAGGAGGTGGAGAATGTTACTTTGGGTTTCAATGAGAAAAAGATTGATAATTTCGGTTCTAAATCTTCATCAAGTGTTCTTGAAAACTTAAAAAATATTCAAGGTTCGATGATTTTGAAGGATAATGTTGCGTTTACTGGTATAGGGAGTTCCCAACAGAACTATAGTTATAGTGATGATAAATTATGCTATTTTAGGAACATAAGTCGCGTAACTTTCACAATTATTTATGATAAAGAGGGTGATACATGCAGTAAACCAAAAAAATCAAGATTCGATTTTCAACGGGTAAAAAATGGCATTTTCCTGCTTGAAGAACTTTTCTAGCCTGGGATCATTATGCAATTTAAAGTGTATCATCACAACTATTATCATTATGGAAGGGGTTTCAGTTTATTTTTACTGTCTTGTTGTTGTGATATGTTGTGTAAGAATTAGATTTATGCAATTATTATCTCTTATGGAAGTCCAATAATACATTTCAGGTCAGCATGTAACAATGAAGGTGTAATGCAATGAGCACTTTTTTACGAGAGTTGCAAAAGATATGAAATGATCAAAGTAAGTAAATGTACTTACATTAGTAATGTTCATCAAGTGAGCTTTCTCATTCGTTTGTGTTTATATAACCAAGCCATCAAAGACCACCCCTACCCCCAACTCGTTTCCTTGACACCCAACTCGGAAATCTCTACATCCATACATACATAATGAAAATGATTCCATCTACATCTTAAATTAGAAAAAAAAAACATTATCTTGCTGATAAATAATCGAAGACACATCAGAAATATTTTAACACTAATTACAAAATTATATTCGATTTTCAAACAATGAAAGGACAGAGGAATGGACGCATCATGTTAGTTTGGGGTTTTTTAAAAGGCGCAATATGGGTTTAATTGTGGTGGTTTGGTGGTTTTACAGATTGTTGCATGCACTTTGACAAAGTAATTAGCGGACGTAAAATCCTGGTACGGAGCTACCCTAGATAAGAAACTAAACCTTCAATTAAGATAAAATGTTGCATATTTTCATAAACAAAACATAAACACGCGGAAGCATAAACCGTAGATCTTTAGTTTCAAATCTATTAAAAGAAAACTTAAACATGAATGGACGATTACATATCTTTGTTCCATTGAGATTTTCGGATCTGGAGACCGGGATGAGTTTTCAAGTTCATCTTAAGAACTCTCTATATAATCCTTCTGCATGAGACTCATGAATTTCTATATCCATATCGTGTGTCATAAATCTGCCTCTCATCACGTATTTATATAGATGGAGATATAATTTAATGCGAGAGATATTCGGGATTTAGGAGATCTTGAGTCAAACTGATTGAGAATGAAGTTATCACTTTTAGCAACAAAGGTGTCACCTTGTTTGTGGTTTTCATGCTAAATCTTTCAATGATCTTATTGATGTAGCCTTTTTGTGATAATCCTAGAATTTCATGAGATTTGTCTTTTTAAATCTGGATTCATAATACAAAAATCGGCTTCTCAAAGATCCTTCATTTCAAAATACTTTAATCTATTGATGGCCAACAATATGCCATCAACATACAAAAACCAGATTAATATATTTATTTATTTACTCCCACTAAGTTTGTGATAAACACGATCATCTACTGTATTTACTCTAAAACCAAAAGAGATAATGAACTGATGAAACGTGTGTACCACACATGGGATATCTTAAGTTGAGGTTGATGTTGTAATTTCTCCATTTAGGTTAGTAATTCTTGCTTTTAGAGGAAAATACATTTTTGGTCCTTGGGTATAGTTAATTTTTGCAGTTTTGGTCCATGTTCCAAGTAAAATTACTAAATATTGTCATTTTACTTGGAACAGGGACCAAAAATGTTGCAAAAAGCAAAATTGCATTAGAAAACGTTTTGGGACCAAACTTGCAAAAAGCAAATATATCTAGGGACTGAAAATATAATTTCTATTGGTTTTTATCACAGAAGGTCTTGAGAAGTGATTTTACATGTTTTTCTTTTTTTTTCTTTTTTTTCTTTTTTTTTTAAATTTTGTAAAGGCTTTCTGAAGATCGAAGCATGTCTTTTGTGGGGTGATTTTGTCAAAAGTTGTCTGTGTAACTTTTTCAACAATAACTTCTTTTACTAAATTGGTTTAAAGGAGCCAACAACCTGCAAAAAAGCCAGAACCAAAGAGCATTTGCTCGAGGTGAGGGTTACTTTTGTCATTTTACAAAAACGTGTACTTTCACCATTTTTTCGATTTAGTCTCTGAACTAGTGTTTTTTTTAAAAGATTTAGTCTTAAACTATTATCATTATTCTAATTGTTACAATTTTATTATTCAAGACATATTAGTAACTAATATAACCTTATTTTTATCAAATTTAAAGCTTTACCCCTTACATGTTTGAAAGATCACCCGAGAAAAGGGGAGAAGCTAATCTTATCGCCAAGCGGGACTTTGGTGGCAATAACGGATTCACTTGGCCGTATTATGTTCTTGGACATCCGCGCCCTTATGGTTGTACGGTTACGAAAAGTAACATATTTTGTTTGAAAGGCACTAAGACTGATATAATTTTTTTTTTGTCCCACTCAAAAAGGTAGGACAAGGACTTAGTCTAAATGTCTCGTCTGTGTAAAAAGACGTGAATACCCTCATTGGTAGTTATTGACTAGTCTAGTACACTAGTATAGACTGTATTGTCATACATTGGACTATGACTATGACTGATGTGAGTGCGGAAAAAATTGCAATCTTTTGTCTTGCCCAAAAAGATGGGACGTGAACGTGCTTTCAATCCCCCATCTTTGCAAAAAGACGTAAGTGCCCTTTTCATCATCGTCACTGAAAATATACCTAGAAAGCTTGTCTACTCTTTATAGTGCCCTAGCGTATTACGATAATGGGACAAAAATTCCTTTTTTTTTGTCGCACCCAAAAAAAGGTGGGACATGGGCTTTCTCTTATCTCACCCGTGCAAAAAAAGATAGGAATGCCCTTCTCATCCAAAATATCAAAATAAACTCAATTATTTCAAGGGTATCGTGATGTGATCTGTCTTTTCGGTGAAACACTTGTAAATAAAGACAATATAGGAAGCCATGAACGCGTGAAAAACAATTATTGTTTATGTCTTGCCATCCATGCTCCTCGAAAGGGCATTGTTGAGGTAATAAAAAAACATTTAAATGATTTTTTTTCAAATAAAATAAAAAAACAATTATTATTTTTATTTTGCTTTATTTATTTTTTAAATATATAACATTCAATTTGTTATAGCTGTTCATATACTACTCTTGTTATCGGGAGCTGAGGCTACAAAAATAAAATGTGAATAGTTTTAATAAGTTAGATACTATATGTTGTACATAAAAAGAGACTAAATATCAACAAAATCGATATATATATATATATATATATATATATATATATATATATATATATATATATCAAATTTTTTCCAACGATCTTTGTAGACGATTTATAGTGGTATTATAGCTTCTTTTTTAATTTTCTTTTTGAATGTGTGTAGAAAAAAAGTTTTCAAACTTTTAGGGATTTTTGGTTCACACTACAACTCAACTGTTCTCTCTCTCTCTCTCTCTATATATATATATATATATATATATATATATATATATATATATATATATATGTAACACCGTAAATTTTCAAACCAAATTTTTCAATTTAAAACACATTTATCTCATTTCAAAAAATCACAAAAGTGCCACAAATATCAAATCATCAAAATACATGTCCAAAACTATATATATCACAAATCTAGGATTCTCTCAAAACATAACTCTAACTCTGGTGTGTGTACAATGAAGTCGGCGCCTTCCCGTGTACCTGAGAAGTACCTGAACCACATAACACATAACACGGTAAGCACGAAGCTTGGTGAGTTCCCCAAAATACCACACACATCACATTAGCCACTTGCGGCTAACTCAATACGACCCTCCGGTCAATGTGTCTCAGTGGAGACCCTCCGGCCCCACAACTCGGATGGACCCTCCGGTCCTAACTCAATAAGCTCATAACAATAATACTCAGCATGACTCACAAAGACATAATGAAGAATATCATAATATACAGGTAAGCACATAAGACATCTCAGTCACGCAAAGATACCACTCATGGTAAGTATAGTGAGAAGACTCACCTCGCAAGAAATCAGATAATCTCGAACTCAAATCACCGGTCTAGCCTCCGCCTAACACATACGACAATTATCCCTAATTAATCATGGCTCTCAAGAAGCTAAACTAACCCTTCTACAAACTCACAGAAGGGTAAAAGACCATTTTACCCCTCAATGGCCTTAATAGTCCACAAATTGACCAAACCCTAAAAGTCAACCAAAAGTCAACGCCAGCAAGTACGCTGCGCGTACAAGATCTCTACGCTGGGCGTACTCCGATGCCATGCATGCATCGGGGATTCTCAACCCTACGCTGCGCGTATTGGGATTACGCTCGACGTACGCCCCAGTTTTGCTCTTTCTACTCTTTTGGTCTTAATCAGTTAAAACCTTGGCTCATTTCATAGATTTGGACTCCCTAATAGCTCTTATTCCATAAAGTCAGTGACTTTAAGCCTTTGCATGGCTGATAAGGTCACAAACACACAAAATCCTCTCTTTCTCTTAACTCAAAATGCTCATATCTCATGCATGGTTTGATTCCAACGTCCAAGTCTTGATTTTTATGACACTACACCACTGAAAACACTGAAAGGGGTTGATCATAGTCTCTGGAGCACAATATCTCATAAAGTCTCCAACTTTTTGGACAAAAACCCTAAAATATTCTACTATGATGCACAAAATGAAAGAGTGAGAAAGGTTGAAGCTTTATACCTCAATATGAAGGTCCCAACACAGCTATGCTCAGATCCAAGGGCCTGGACTCTTACGCGTTCTTCTCCAAAGCTTCTTCTTCACTCCAAGAACATACAAAATCACTCAAAGGCTCTCAAATGCACTCACAAGCTCTATGAACGAAGGTTTAGGGTTTAAGAGAGTTTGTTGTCTGAGAATGGTGGCTAGGAATGAGGCCATCATATCCTTTATGTAGGGACACACCCTAAATTAGGGTTTTCACTTTGGGCCTAGTATGCCCAACATACCCTCTGGTACGCCCAGCGTACTAGGTGGCTTCCGCGTCACAAACACGCATATGAGTACGCTGAGCGTACACTCGCGTACGCCCCGCGTACTCATTTACCCCTTTTTACAATAGGGGATAAACTTTACAATTTACCAAAAGAACAAGGGCTTAAGGTATACATGGACTTGGGATGTTACAATTCTCCCCCACTAGAATC